TTAAGGCTAGTTGTCAATCAGATACATTGTATCCATATATACATAGTATCAAGCATATAGTAGCACCATGGGTTTGGGAATTTGAAGGTTCATATTTAAAATTGGAAATTTTCACCATCTTGCACTTAAGGACGGTGGGGGAATGGCTATGGACCCAATAAAGATCCCAAGGTTCCATCGTCCCGGGCCATCATGGTCCTTGGTCTACTTAGCCAGAGGAGGTAGTCGACCCAACATGACAGAAGGTATCCTCGTCGACAGCCATGAGTTTCTTTGTCCAAGGGTACCTTGTAGACCTGGGCGGAATGCTTATCTTAGGGGACAAATTTGAATCCACTTTAGCTAACAGAGGGCTTTGTGCCCTATCAATCATATCATATTGATTCATATCTTAAAGATTTGATGCCACTAAGGAGTGTATTGGCTCTGCCCATAATCGGTATCTATGGTGCTATTTGGCGGCAAAATCGCTCGGTTTAGAGGGCCCCGGGTCATAACTGTTTATTATGCTATGCTATTTGGTGGCAAAATTGCCGGTCAGAGGACACGTACCACGTCCTTACTGATAGGAGATTATTTGAGAATTGATCCTAGTGATATTTTCGACTAGGCGTTAGCTCTTTATGAGCTGAAATATTTTCAATTTGTTCACCCCTGCAAATTGTTGCAGATGATGGATGGATTTTTGTTTTAATTAGTTTGATGGAAGATTGATTTCATTTTTAAATATTTAGATTTAGAATTTTTGGATTTTGAGGACATTTTGAAATATTTAAAATTAACCCATTCGGTTGAGATCTATATTCAACACGGTCATCATCGGGGTGTATGGGGTCATTTATTAATTAAACCTTGTCGAATCTGTTAGGCTATCGACAGAGGATCGGGTTTTATAGGCTTGCCTTTGTTGATAAATTTTTTTTATTGAAGGTCTAATATGAATTTATAAAATAAATATCCCGTCCGATCTCATGACAGCATATTTATTTAATGATTCGAGCCGTGTCAACTCCCAGCTACCTGCATTGAAGGATCGGGCTCGAACTTGGACTCACCATTTGACTCGCGTAGCATCCTTGGGTGTCACGTGTGTATCCAAGACACGCTGGCCGGGGCCCATGCGGGTTTTATAATTGTACTTACCCCTTGTGTACCTATGTGTATATAAATTACGGTGCATATGCGGGGTATTTTGGATATTTGATGGGTCTTCTATGACAGCTCGTAGAAGTTTGCATTTGTTGTAGTATTTCAATATTTGTCTGTGAATGATGTGTTGGATGCACGACCACTGTTCATCAAGGAAATTGCAAGCCTCAATAGTTTTCCTCTTTTTCCTCTCTCTCTCTCTCTCTTACACTCACACACACACTCGCCTCCTTCGACGCAAGAAGCCACTTCTCCATCTGCATCTCTCTGCCCTAGTTCGGTTTTGCAAATCAAAACTTCCACAAGCTAAACTCCCTAGCCTGCTTCCTCCTATCACTGAACCGACCCTTCCTCCCTGTATACCACGACCTTCCAAGCCCTCAACCTTTTGATTATCTCGGTCCAGAGAAAGAGAAATAGAAAGAGTGGGAGGGCTTTCTCCATTCATACCTTGCTTTTGGTCTCCAACCAAACCGTAGGCTTCCGATCTCCAGATACGACCAGACCCCGTCGATCCCTTCAGGTCGGACTAGACCCAGCGCCTTTACCTTCTCCTTCTACCGACAAAACCGTCGAACCCCAAGGCGAATTCCTCCCTCCCGATTCCTCTAAGGACTGTGTCCTAGCTCCTGCGACAAACCTGTCTTCCTCTATCCTCTTATGTGGCCAATACTTCATCTATCCATCGCTGCCTCCTTAACCCTTTCCTCTTCGCCGCAAGTAAGACCTAGCCCGACCCATTACCTATGGCCGAATTCACAGAGGGTAATCCCTCTATCTTTTTTTTATGTATTTTTGTTATTAATTATATTATATGGGAAATAGTGATGCATGCTAGACTATTGGTTTTTGTATTGTGAAGTTGAGGATGCATGGTGTGTGACTAGGACATTGCCTAAATTTAGGAAAGGATCAAATATTAGAAAGAATATGATATATTTGAGTGTTCTTAGGGAATTAGTGTGCAAGTTCTCTTAAAGGTTACATAGGTGCATTGCTCATCGTGAAATAAACGAGGGTTTTGTGGGCTGAATGTATTATAGGTTGAAACCTCAAGTGCAGCTACTTCAAATTCCTCATCATGTGTTAGAACCCCATGGTTTGGAGAAACAAAAATGGGTTTGCTTCTTGGTTGCATGTCAGTTACGAAACTGAGGGCATAGGGTTAGTGAGAGACTATTGGAGATGATTTGAAGGATTGTTCTTTTGTTGCAATGTGTTAAGCCGGCACTTGAACCGGCTTTTGGTGAGAAACACTTGGAAATCCAAGTGTTTCCTATCACAATGCTTGTCCTAGTAACAAGTCATACCGTTGAGTCATTTAAAGTGAGGAGATATGTACTTTGGAGGTATAAAAATTCAATGGTAGGTTAACTTACAATATTAGAAGACTCACTTCAGTGGCAACTTATGTACTTCATAGGTCTTTATTGATTGTTATCTTCAAATGTCATTTGAGCATTTTGAGGTTGCATATTGCTCATCCCTTCAGGGCTTTACAAACTTTGTTTTAAGAGGAGTCGGACGAGTTCTAAAATTTATTATGTTATTAAGTCAAGGTGGATATTTCTTAAGATGCCTCTTTTTTAATTTAATAAACATAAGTTTAAGATTTAAAATAAATGCTTTTTAGTATAAATCTATAAGATGGTGGTGAGACTTGCAATACTTTATGATACAAAATGTTGGCAATTAAAAGAGAAGCAAAAAAATTAAGTGTTGCAGAGATGAGGATGCTTAGGTGGATAAGTGGCTTTTCTCTTAGAGATGGAATGTTAAACAAGTATATATATGAAAAGGTTGGAGTAGCCTCAGTGGTAGATAACATTAGAGAGAATCGCCTTAGATGGTTTGGTCACATAAAACGTTGACCTTTTGATAGATGACCCCGTTAGGAGAGTAGATGTATTAAGATATGACCTATGTTAGGAAAGTTAGAGGTTGACCCAAAAATATTTGGTTAGAAAGTATTAAAAATGAAATTTCTTTATCAGATTTAAATGAGAATTTGACTCTTAATAGGACACTAGGGAGAAAAATGATTCATGTAGTCGATCCCTCGTAGTGGGATAATGGCTTGATGTTGTTGTTGTTGTTGTAGGTTAAATCTTTCAAATCATTTTGAAAAACTTGGGAGTCTAAAGTTAAGCCTAATTTATATTTAACATCTACCTCAAATAAGATTTTAGGGATTTTTGTTTTTTTTCATGGGCTTTATTAGGGTTACGGTAGGCAGCATGCTACTAGCGATTTCATTGTGTATGGATTGGGCTTGTGTGCTGCTTTTAATTTAATGAAATAAGGTAGAAATAGTTGGTACAAAGAAAATATTGGCCGAGAAAGTAAACAAGTGTTTAGAGAGAAAAGTGAATAGAATAAGTGAATAACGACTTGTGTGACTGTGGAGTACCATCTTGAGGTGGTGAAAGCATGGTTGTGTAAGAAAATTTGTGATAGAATGATGATTCTCTGGACATGTTGGAAGGTAACCTTTTAAGGAATATTTAATTGTGTAATTTTTTATGCTAGTTAAATATTATTTATATATTGTCTCTTTTTTTATTCTCTCTTTTGTTTGGCTTGAGAAATATAGGGGTTTTCCCTTCATGTGAGATTTTGGTGTATTTCGGTTGAGTGTTTTCTTTACCTCTTTTATTTATACACATGCTTGATTTCTGTACAGTTAATCGGATTCTCTCTTCTTTAATATGATTTAATCTTATTTTAGATGAACCACCTAGATTTGTGTTTTTACGATTATTGTGTTTTTTTGTTCTCGCTTTTTCTTTCTTGTTTTTCCCTACATAAACTTACAGCCCTTGCAATTTTATCATTTTATAACATTTTACTTCTTTCGCTGATACTTAATGTCGAACACTTCTGGTTGTATAGTGATAGAGTTATATACTACCATTTATGTACTTTTTTTTTTGTAGCTACATCCATCAACCTCTTTGCAAGGAGCTGTTCAAAACACGAGTAATCCATTATCCTATACCAATAGTTCTAAGCTGACAGGCGTTCCTTCACAATGGATACCTCAACAGTTCTCTTATCAATCATCTGCTTTGCCAGGTAAGTATATTTCGTTTTTTTTTTCTTTGATTCTGAATCATCCATCGTCTACATTGGCTGCACTAATTATTAACAATATTCAGGTCCATACATGATGCAGCAATTTCCACATGATATGCCTCACCAGCTTCCTAGCAGTTTTTTCCCGTCAATGTAAGCATTTTTTTTCGACTATTTATTTATTTATTCCTTCATCCAAAGCATTCTTTTCTGAATTTTTATTTATTTATTTATTTATTCTTCCGTCCAACTCTTGTATCATCTGTCTTGTATCAAATGGCTGGTCCTGATGTCGTTGCCATAGTAACCACTATTTCTAATTATTCCTCGCGGCATTAATATCTTTATCTAGTTTAGAATTTATTTTTCAAGCTGTTTCTTATTTAATTCACTGCTGAAATCCCACATATACCAGGCATTACTTGCTAATAGTTGCAATCAAATCCTAGTTGTGATCATTATCTGCTTCAAACCATCGAAGGAAATGCTCAGGCATTTACAGTTTTTGGTGGTTCAGCTAAAACTCACTTTTGCATGGTGAAATTTTCCTTTTTATATATATTTCCTTTAATACTCTACTTGAATCTGAATTTGGAAATAATGTTAGTAAAGGTAAAACTATTTCTGAGTTGTAGTCGATCAGGTGACCTAGAATACTTAATTCTAATGTTTTTGTGTTCCTTGTTACAGGAATCAAGGTGGTGGAGTAGCAAGTGAGACCACTACTTACGGTGTTAGAACCAGCAACCAACTTGCAGCTCAAACAAACTCGCATCTGGGTTCGCTTAATTCATCTGTGCCTTCTGTTGGAGGAAATCCTTTCGGATAGATGGGGATTACTGTTATCATTAGATTTGATGCTCAGATTATTACTGCCCTCTTCTGTCCATTCCGACAAAGAGTTTGGGGTACCTTGTTTGTGGGGCGGTACGTGTAAACTTTGGTTTAAGAATTTGCTGGAGAAGATCTATTTATGTATTTATTTGTTTCAAATGTAAATTCCCCGTGTTTTATTTAACTTGTTGCCCTTATTTGGTCATTTTGTATTATTCATTTGGGTTAATCTTATAATAACCTCTAGGTTTAGTGATTCTTTTGTGCTCTTTATGCTTTGGGTTGAGTTTGCTACTTTCCTAGTCTTGCTGGAGGCTGGTTATCCTCGTAACGAAGAACTGTATAGATTTGACTCTTTTTCTTTTTTTTTTTTTAAATTAATTTCCATTTTGGCAGGATGTTGTATTATGGATGATTAGTATTATTGGAACTCACTATTGATTTTCCTTTTCTTTTCCCTGTACTGAATATTTTGAATGTAATAGTAATTTGCTATTATATAGCTGGTTGTTATAAAGCACTGTTACGCTACGCTTGGAAATAATAATGTTCTTTTGGTTTGTTTGATAAATGATGTGATTTAATATGCACAGCAAAGTTAGTTATGAAATCCACCACCCACCCTTTCTCTGGATATTTGTCTAGTTCTAACCCCGGAGAAAATAGCATAATATGATTAGGCGAGTTTTCATGATCTTTGCACAAATGCTAGGTGAGACTGGAAGGGAGATTATTATGACTTCGTTCTTTATTTACTGCTTTATTTTTTTTTCGCACTTTACGTCATTTACAGCTGTTCGTAGTCATTTGATATTTTTTTATATACGAGATCACTTTATGGAATGCATTATTTAAGTGTGTTGAGCGTTTTTTCGTAGGTAGTATTGGTATAAGCAAAAATAGAACTTAATGAACAAAAGTTGCACAGCATCGATTCATACTAATGTGTTCAAATAAGCTGCTTCGGACGAATCCAAGTTCAAACCACTTAGGCTTCGTTTGGGACGGCTTTTTTATTGCTTTCTAAAACAGAGTTTTAGTACAAAAATAAAAATTTTTGTACTAAAACTCCGTTTTAGAAAGCAGTAAAAAAGCCGTCCCAAACGAAGCCTTATTCTGCTCCTGAATGTTGTTGTCGGCTCAAAGGCATTTAATTTTCAGAACTATCTTTTCATCCGAAAGTTTATTTTGATCGTAAATATTCTCTTTTTGATCGGAGATGATAATTAATCTAAATTTGTTGTGAATGACATAGGTTCAAATAATATTTGGGTAAAGTTAAACAGTGTTTAAGTAAATCTTAAAATTTGTTTGAATGAGGGTTCGAAAATGATTTTGAGATGTGCAAGTAATGTTTGAATTGAATTTATATATGGCTGAACGGTTTGAACGTGAGTCTAATGCAATTTTCATGTAGTAGATGTATATATATATATATATATATAATACAATGTATTCTTATAATTTTACAAGATTGATACAATAAAGAACAGTTACAGTAGCAATAATAAATATATCATAAGGCAGATATAAGAGTTTAAATTTAATACTTATAACAAGATATAGATTTATTACAACAATTTTGTCAATATATTATAAAATGGATAATGTAAAGTAATTATTGTAGCACAATAATTCAATCCAGGAATTATGACACAACAAAATGATACGCATATTGCTAAATCAATCTGAGACAATAGTTTATGAAATGCATTACCTCAAAGTAGTTATAGCTTGTTTATAATAAGAAGAAGAGTAAATAAAAAATTAGTATGAAGGTTGTGGGCATTTGGTCATACAAGTAATTCAATTATGCCTCATTCTATGTTGTGTGCATATACATTGCCTCGCCTCTTTCTCCTCCCTTGAGGGCCTTCTATTTATCTTTGGACAGTCACTTTTCAACTTCATTAATGAGGGGATCACAATATCTTTATTTATTTAATCTAGAACCTCCCAAGTGTCCTAATTTTTTAGTAGATATGTATTCTTAGCATATGCAGTTAATTACAAGTTCTACATGTAAAATTTTAAATATACTTTATACGAATGGACACTCATTATCGAGTTGTAGCTAATGCATATCCACACAGGACTATAAGAGGATCAAAACATCACACTTTTTTGCATTGGCCTCTACCGCAAATTAAGACAGCCATTAAGATCACTATTAAGAATATATATTTTAAATTAACAAATGTGCTAAAGAATCAAACTTTTGCTTTATTTAGGTGCTTACCTAATGCTTGACTTTCTTTGTTAAAAGTCATGATATTCATTGCAACTGTGCACTAATCTAAGAACAATTGTTGTCATGATGTGCTTGAAAAACTCCAACAAAGCAGTCATTGGGTACGAGTGCGCACTCATGGTAACATTATTAAAGCTCTCTGAAATATCGGTTATTATCAGGTTGCATCGATTTCATAGGAATATTGCATGATCCCACTAAAAGCCAACATCATTCCGTGGATAGGTAGTTATGCTTGGGTCTATACAAATGTTTTATTAAAGTGCCTAAATAATTAAATGCTTATATAAGACTTAAAAGTCAAGTGATATTTCTCATGAAAATGATTAGTTTTTAACTTTGACATGATTTTCATTGCAATATTATGAAAGCAAGCTTTATAATGCGACTTTATAAAAAAATAGTTCATAAAATATTGAAGATACTATTATATTTATTAGAAACAAACACTTAGGTTTTCACAATATTGATTGGTTCCCTTAGTTTTGTCGTGAAATATATACACGACTCATTATTTTTTGAGGTAACTGTCGCAAATGGCACTAGATAAATATGAGTTTTGGCATGAGCTCAGTGCCTCGACAACATGTAATTAAAATTATTTTATTCACATTTAACATAAATCAAAATGCACTTTTAAAGCCATGAATAAAAATAGTAAAACATAAGTAAACATGGTTGAAACATCTTTTATTCTTAAGTTGATCATTATGATTTTTGTCTATTGATTTTTTATATGTAGCGTAATCTGATAAGTTGGTAATTTATGAAATGATATTTTGGGAGAAGCTCTTACATAAGTGATAGCTTGCTCACAGTATTGTCAAACATTTTTATTAGATAAATTAATTCCATAATCTCTATTTATATATGATATGATCATCTTTGGCTTTAAATTATGATCAAATTTGATGAGCTTCTTGGTTATCTGTCCAACGAGACATGGTTGAGCTTGTTAGTGATCTTTTGATATTAAATCTAAAGTGCATGTGTGTTTTGAGTAATGTCTTTTGATTTTAAACATACTTGAATTTGCCACATAGGTCACAAGCTCTAGGAATATTTTCAAGTGTTATAAATATATTATATGAATGATAAGTTTCTTTCCATCACATATATATGTAACATGCTCTTTAACTCTATTTTGCTTAAAAAAAAAAAAAACCCAACGTCTAAATGACATGAGGCCATTATACAATTCAATTAGACTTTATATTAGTGAAAATTATATGAGTATTCAATTATGAGTCCATTATATCAGCAGGAATTCAATTGAAGGTATTTTCAAGTATTGACCCTGGTTGGATAGGAGTTATCCATAAGTTTTTGATAATATTAAATTATTTCTTTTTGTCTCAATGCACATGAAGAATAAATAAGTTTTCCCAAGTAATGAGTTTCAAGTAGATCACAAAGTAGGGTTGTAATATCCATTGGATGTTTTAGCATTGAAACCTCCATGTAATCACCATAATATGCACCTTATAAATTCCCAACATTACTCATTTTGTTTGCGATGTGCCCACGTCGTCACTCACATGAATAGAATATTGTAGACTCTAATCTTGCATCATCCACATTTACATAAAAATCTATGGTTGAAATATTTTTGGGAGTAATAGAAATTCATATTGGAGACCATTGTTGAATGGAAATGGATATCTCATTGAAGGAAAAAGGTAAGATAATAATTTGTAATAGCTCAGTTGGTAGAATTAAAATTATAGAATATGCTGTAAAATCTCTATTTTTATATTAAATTGATTCTTAATAATATAAGAATATACATATATATAATATCTACAAGTAAAATATTTTTTTTCACCATCAATCCATTGCTCTAATTCTTATAAATATCAAATTGACTTGATTGTCATCATTTCGTTCTTCTCCATATGGTAAAATAATATTTCATTATACTTGAATCTCCTTTAACAGATAAATGATAATATTATAATTTCACCATCAAGGGGTCATGTGTTTAAACAATATTTGAATCATGTTTGAACATGATTCAAACCATGCTCAAAGACTAGTTTGAACCATAATAGAATTTGATTTGAACATGGTTCAAATTATGATTCAATATTTATTAAAACACGGTTTAAATAATTTTTAAACTTTGTTTGAACCTTATTCAAATAATCATCAAATATGGTTTAAACAAATTTTGAACATGTGTTTAAACATGTTTGAATTTTAATTCAACCATGTTCAATCATGGTTCATGTTGGATCCAAATATATTTGTGGATGGCACTTGACTTTATTACCAGGTAAGCTAAGAAGGCTAGTACCCATAAACCTATGGTGAGTATGGAAGGAGAAGAAGAGGTTTTGAGGAAAAATATATCACAAGCTCAATATTCTATTTAGAAAATGCCAAAAAGTTCCAAAATGTATATCTTCATCCTTTATTTATACAGATCTAAGGACTACAGAGAGCCTACAATAAAAATAATATCAAAGTTAAACCATAAATGACCTCAAATATGGATCACCTAGAACATATGTCATACTCTAATAGGCCCTATGAATGGTTCTGTCTTTTTAGTTCAATTCTTTAGAGTTAATGCAAGTCACTTTATGCTGAGTATCCATGGGCAAGTAGAGTTGAGTTGGTTCATGAGGGTTTAATTGAGAGGACTGTTGTTGATGAGTCTTTTGAAGGAGTTAGTGAGCTTTTGGATGGAGTTCATGGACTACATCGATGTGGGAGGAGAGTCTATTTAAATCATAGTGGTAATGGACTCTTTGCCTACTAAAGTGTGGTGAGGTGAGCTTGAATCTTATTAGGAGAATCCTTCCCTATATATAAGGTGATTGATTTTCTTGATGATTCACTGCCCTAGGTAATGGTGTGTAGCTTTGAGGTTGTGCATCTCATTAGGAGGACAAGTTTCATTATGTGCATCCTCTGTGAACTCTTAACACTTCTTTTAGATGTGACTAATTTCTAATCATTTTGTCAAGTTGGGGCTAGTGAACCTTATGCGAGTTTTCATTACCA